CCCGACGGTCCAGCCCAGCCCGCTCTCACCGCATCGCCGCTCCTGGGGGAAGAGAAAGCAAGAAAGGGGGTTCATGTCGGGCCTGTGGTCTGTCCAGTCCGTCTCCAAAGGGATCCCAGGAAGCCCCTCTGACCAACAGGTCCTGCCACCAGCTTCCCAGTCTCGGGTCCAAGGAGTCTGATTGCCAAATTCTTACCGCATTCTGACCCCCAGGAGTCCTGAACCCCCCTCTCCCTTCTCAGGCCAGGGGTCCAGCCCGCAGCCCTCACCCCTGCAGGAGATAGCCCACCTCCCCCTGCCTGGGCCTCAGGGGACCGGCTGCACTCACTCGTCCGCCATGCTGAGACTCCGGCCAGGAGCTGGAGGGGGCAGAGAAGGGACGAGAGGCTCTTGGAGAGTCAGCGAGGGGGCGTCCGGGGTGACCTTGAAGGCCCCAGGGACTTCAGTCTCGTCCGGGCCGCTCAAGCCTCACTGAGGACACTGATGAAGGGCGAGGACAGCGACTAAATATACTGCTCCCCCCCTCCCCCTGCCCAGGATGCGAGATAACGGGGCGCGTGAGGGGTGGGGCGGGCGGTGCTCCAGCTGGACCATCCCCACACAGAGATGCCTGGGAATCCGGCCCCTTCACTCTGATAGGAGACCAGGCCGCTAACCCCCCCTCCCTCAGACCCAGGGGTCCAGGCCCCTCTAACTCCCCCCGTCAGACCCAGGAGTCCAGGCCCCCAGTCCTCCTCCCTCAGACCCAGGGGTCCAGGCCCCCCCCCCCTCCTCCACCAGATCCAGGAGCCCAGGCCCCCAGCCCCTCCTCCCTCAGACCCTGGAGTCTGTACCCCAGCCCCTCCTCCCTCAGACTAAACTGCCACCTCCATGGGGGCGGGAGCCTGTCTGTCTTTTCCATCACCTGATGGTGGGTGTCAGTGTCGGAAGTGGTGCGGGGCACTCAGGCCCAGCACCGAGAAAGCCACGCCCCCTCCACTTGGAAAACCGGGAATGGGAGTCTGCGCCCCAGTCCCTCACTAAAGTGCACCCTCCATGAAGGCAGAGCCTGTCTGTCTTTTCCATCACCTGATTGTGGGTGTCAGCGCCCGAAGCCATTGCCACGCGATACATTGTATTGTCTTATTTGAGGATCCACGTTTGTGGTGCGGGGCACTCAGCCCAGCCCTGGGAAAGCCACGCCCCCTCCACTTGGAAAACCGGGAATCTGGTCTCCGCTGTCTGACCTCTCCTGGCCCCTCCCCTCCCCCAGCCCTGGAGCCGGACTGAGGACGGGACACAGGGACACAGAGACGACTCTGCTGACTTTATTTGGAACGTGGGTGCTGAGCAGACGCAGAGAGGAGACATCCCCAACCCCCGCTTGGGCAGGGGACCCATGGGGACCCCGCAGAGCACCTGAGACCCGGGGCCCGGTCTCCCGGCTGCATTTCGAGTGTGGGGGAGTGGAGTGTGGACCTCTGAGAGAACCATCTAGAATTCTAGGGACAGAATACAGTGGGGCCTTGACTTACGAGTTTCATTCGTTCTGAGACCGAGCTCGTTAAGGAGTTTGTTAACTCAAATTACTCTATCAACTCAGTGCAAAAAAGCAGCCGAGAGACAGCTGGTATCTCAAAAAACAACTCGTTAGTCGGGACACTCGTAAGTCAAGGCCCCACTGTATAGAATCTCAGAAATGGAGTCTGAAATTCCAGCAACACCTCTGGGGCTGAGCGAGAATGTGGAGGGTGTAGCTGAGTGTCCCAGAGGCCGGTCCAACTCCAGGACCCAACTTGAGAAGTTAGGTGGGGCGGTGTTCTCTGAGGGTCCCCTCAGACTCTCTGGTTTGGGGGTTCTGACTCCCTGTGGGCGGAGCCAAAGCCTCGAGTGAAGAAGCCTGAGACTCTGAGGGCAGTTTGAGGGGTTCAGGGGGGCTTTGACCTTGGAGGGGCTGGGTCAGGCGCTCCGAGGGCGGGTTTGTTGCCTCAGGAGGCGGAGCCAGGACATCAGGAGGCGTGGCCAGGGCTGCAAGGGGCGGAGTCCCGGGTTCCACTGCGGGGCCTCCGGGAGCTGAGTCCCCGGACTTGCAGAAGCGCGCGAAGGTCTCGGGGGACCCGGCACCGGGCTGTGGGGCGAACCCCGCTGCCTGAGCCAGTTCCCCAACCCGGTCGGAGAATCCCCGGAGCTGCTCCGGCCGCACGTCCACCAGGTAGCTGAGATGGAGAAGCCGTGCGTTAGGGGACCCGGCGGCTCTCCGTCCCCAGCCTGGTGCCCCGCCCTGCGCTCCACGGACTCACCGGGCTAATTCCACGACCAGGCGTCCCCCAGGGGCCACGCAGGCCCCGAGCTCAGGGCTGAGAAGATGGACCATCCTGGGGCAGAGAGAGCACGGGAGGGCTGAGGTCCTGAGGGAGGAGGCTGGGGGCCCGGACTCTGGGTCTGAGGGAGGAGGGCTGGGGGCCCGGACTCCTGGGTCTGAGGGAGGAGGGGCTGGGGGCCCGGACTCGTGGGTCTGAGGGAGGAGGACTGCAGAGGGAGGCCCCAGACCCCCAGGCCCTCTTACCCACAGGCCACATAGAGGAGCTGGAACCGACCCTTGTAGCAGCTCTTGTGGTGGAGGGTCTGGGCAGAGCCGAGGGGCAGGAAGTGGACGGTGAAGGGTGCCGGGCCAGGGGCTGCAGGGGAGACCAGCACAGTGAGTGAGGGGACACACAGAGCTGGTAGATGACACGGCTCGGCTCTCTGGAAGCCCTTTCTCAGCCTTTTTCCTCGGTGGATTCCTGGGGAAATTTCTGGGCCGGCCGGCCAGGTAGGCAGAGGCCCATTTTACAGACCAGGCAACTGAGACTTGAGAGAGGGAAAG